GATGAACGAATTAGAACCAAATGTCTGCACGATGATTTCAAAGGAGGATTTCACGATAAGGTCGAAGGTCGGAAGGGGAAACTACCTAGTGGAAAGACAGGCGGACTCCTTAAGGTGCGACCGACACGCAATTCGCAGCGAAGGATATGCCCCCGGCGATCTAGCATGGCCGTCCCCGCGGCGCTATCGACGCGGCACGCCCACCGACTGGCTAACCACTCGCCGCAGACCTAGAGCTTTTAGCAGAAAGAGCGTTAGCATTGAAGAAGATAGATGAGAGTCGCATCAATACGGAAATCAGCAGGCAAATTTAGGGCCTATTTATCGGATTCACGGCCAATTCTCATAGTTTTATCTTGAACTCGGCACCGATTCACTCAGGTCTCCTTGGCGAAGTTGTCGAAACATTTGTGCTGTTGAGAGGCCAGAGATGGTGAACGAGGGCCTGTATACGTTGGTTCCGTAGGTTCCGTCAGGGCAACCACAGCCTTAAGAGCAACCACTTTTGGGACACGTAAATTTTGACCGCATATAGGCGCTTCATGAACAGAGTCCGTATGACACTACACGTCTACTTGCAGCGGACATACTGCTGTTACCAGGAAGGTCTTTCAGGGCGTGCCAAGCTTTTTGAAAACGGTCTTTTGCATGATATAGGGGCACATGCGGGAACCACAGAACCATGGTTAATTTTTCCTGAACGGCCCTCTGAATACCAGAAAAGGGGGTCCCTAGTTCGATTCCTCGTGGTGACAAATTTTTGCATTTCGAGTTGACGTGGTTACTGACGGTCCTAATTATGAATATAATATCATAGCTCATGCTAACTCCATTTTGCGCAATTTTTTTCGCGAATCACTCATCGATTTTCAGGATGGAATAACAGAAACATCAAGATGGTGGGCGGAAGTGGTGTAGTGGCAAGTGGCACGCTTACCACGCGAGCGGTCCGGGGATCAAATCCTGGGTCGTGCCGCCCGGGCCAACCAAGCCTTCCATCCCTCCGGGGTCGGTTAATTGGTACCAGACTTGTCTGGGAGGATAAAAACACTGACTTGTACATCGGCTGGCCCCCGCAAGTCATTGTATAGGCCACATCGCATTCAAACGCCACTACGAATGTACAAATGGAAGTAGAATGCGTGCCGCATCCCAAAAAGGGATTGATCAACGGCAAATGCTTTATCCTTTTTATTTATCAGGATGGTAATTATTTTTACTAATGGCTATCCACATTGCTTCCGAGCTGTAAGCTTACATAGCTCAATTTCGGCTAAAGCAGTTGAGAATTTGCATTAAAAGGACAAAAGAGAAAACGCTCTGCTTTGTCCAATCAACTTTCGGTATGCGCCACGCACTCTAATCCCATTTTGATTCGTGGCCATTTTGAATGCGAATTAGCCCATATAATGAACGGCGGCCAGCCGGTATACATGTTAGTGTTCTTATCCCAGACGAGTCTGGTTCCAACTCAGTGACCCTGTAGATTAGACTGCATTCTGCAAGTGAATGATTTGATTCACGAGTATGAAATAAGGTGAAGCGACCCTCAGTTTAATACGTAACCATACATGTTCAATCCCTAAATAAGGATTATTCTCAGACTACTATGTGAGGTTCGTAGCTAAGAATAATCCTTATTTATTTTATGTGAGATTCAAGGGCTGTGAACGAAACCTCCTCCCAGTAGGGACTCGAACCCGTATCCCTCGCTTTCCGCGCAAGAGCGCTACCAGTTACAGCAGAGTCAACCCTGCGTTGCGCAGTTCGCAACGGCACGTTGAGAGATCCTCAACGCACGCTGTATGGGCGGAGACACAGACGGCTCGAGCATGCGAGTGTGAATGTTCGCGCGAGAGAACGTGTCTAATCGGGCGAAACTGCGCAACGTGGCCGTTGAAAACTGCGCAACGCAGGGTTGACTCTAACGAATCGCTTGATTCGCAAAGTCTGACATCGGCCTAACTCAGCTTTTCATGGTATATTTACCATACTAATTAGCACTGACGCGCCTAATGCGGTTAGCCGACATCGGCAGTAAAGCGTAAGGCTGGAAGCTCCAACAGATTTTGATTTTTTGAATAGTGAAAGTAATTTTGAAGTTTTTGAGTAATGTTTGTAATTCGCACAACATAGGAGTGTAAATTGAAGTAAGCAAACCAGCCCTTTTGGCGTTTCTGCTGGGGCCGTATGCTGAATGTTGGGGAGGGGATGGGGTCCCCGACGGTCGACGGACTACTTCAACTCGGTAAAAAACTCCATTCACTGACAAAAGGGCTTTTGCTTACTTTGTGTAAATTGTTGGATGAAAGAATCAAGGAACAATCGAGTCAACATCTCACTCAATTGACTTAAATTTCAGAGCTAGGTCTTCAAGGGGATACAGAAAATGGAGGGCACAAATACGCAGGAGGTGTAGGGTGCAAAGCATATGTGATCTCAA